ACACTTTTCAATGACTCGTAATCTTTATGAATAGAGACATTGCTCCCAAATTTGTTTAGAGCGTTATCATAACGGTTAAAATCCCCGCCAATGATAGTCGCCGAGGACGGAATAAAAAAGTCATGGAGAGAGTCGAAAAAAACTTTCCGTTCAGATGGATTGGTGGGAGCGTAAATATTTACTAAGTTCAAATCAATATCGTTGGTCCAGATCAGGTAACTAAATATACGACCGTGCAGGTCTTTCTCCCAAGATATGACTTCATCTGAAATTTTAGGGGAAATCAGGGTTGCCACTCCGCCTTGTCGACCGATAGCAGGGGACCAAAAACTACGTCCCGGTCATCGATGAGACACGGCCTTGATCAGAGACTCAGAACTAATAAACGTCTCTTGTACAATACAGAAATCACAAGACTTCTTTTCAATTAAATCAAAGAAATAGTTTTGGGTGACGGGATTCCCCATGCCCCTCCCATTCATAGTTTATAATTTGTAAGATGTTTAGGAAGAAAGACTCACAAAACTTATATGTACGTGAATTGCCTATTTTTTCTTTCTACCGCCACTCTTTTTTCCAGGAGACTCCTCTGTTTGGGCTTTTCTAAAATTCGAGGTATCTGTTTCCATGTCAGAGTTGTCATTTAGTTCATTGACAGAAGAATTTCGCGAGCGGACTTTTCCAGAGACTAGAACGGGTGTAGTGGGCGTACGGATACAAGCTAGGGAATCGGGGGCAGAAGGAGCTGCACGGCGTTCTCTTGATTTTGGTACTGTCGTGGTGGGTTTTATAAAGCCTTCGGCGTCGATAACTGGGGAGTCGGTATCGGACGAAGGAGAAGGTGGGGCAGAAGAAGGGGCAGAGGGCTCGGAGATAATTTGAGTGTCAGAAGGGGCTGCGGGGACGTCATCGTTGGAAGCAGGTTGATTATCAGGTGCCGTCGAAGGAAACGTTGCGGACTCGTCATCATTGGGAATGGGTTGATCATCGGGAGCGGTTGGAAGGGAGGTTGAGGAATTGCACTTTCGTAGGGCTGTTGCTAGTGGCAGATCTTCTTCACTGGCGTCATCATCTGAATCCACAAAGACATCTGATGTCTTGTCTGTTTTGGAACAGTAGGTGGAGGTGGAGACCCTTGAATACCTACAACTAATGGCCATATGACCCATTTCTTTACACAGACAGCAGAGCGGAAGGAATGGACAGTTTGGAGATTCATGGCCGGTTGTTTCGTAATTGAAGCAGATTTTTGTTTGGCATGTGTTGCTGAAGTGTCCAGCTTGATTGCACTTACGGCAGGTAGGTTATTGTCGAGAAAGTTTAAGAAAAATTTGCAGTTTACCGAGCTGAAGAAAATTGGGAATAGGTCTAGATGTACGTATGTATGTATCTATGTATGTATGTATGTATGTATGTATGTATGTATGTGTGTAGGTATGTATGTCAATCTTTATTTAAACACGGAAAATCCTCAGTTACATAATAAAAACTAAGATTGCGGTAAATGGTTTGAACCCGGGGGTAACATGTGAAGGTGTAGTCTGATCGTCCGGGTGAGTGTATTCCTGAGAAGGACTGTTGTCGGTGGCAGTGACTGACGTTTCGACAGCCTGTGCGGAAGTCATCATCAGAGATGATGATGACTTCCGCACAGGTTGTCGAAACGTCAGTCACTGCCACCGACAACAGTCCTTCTCAGGACTACACTCACCCGGACGATCAGACTACACCTTCACATGTTACCCCCGGGTTCAAACCATTTACCGCAA